TGGTGATTTGAATCCACCCAGTGGCACCAGGAAAAAAAGTCCTGACGATCTCCTTCCAAAAAGTCACAGCCGTTGAATACCCTATGGAGCACAGTTCTCCTCTGACCCATGTGGGGTTGCCATGAGCGGGAATTGGCTCCATAGCAGCTGTTTTGTGATTTTAAGTTTTACCCTGTTACAGGTGCTGGGATCTCCTTCAGGCCTACGGAGAGAAGCGAGGAAGCCTTAGGGCTCTCCTAGAATGTGGCTAACTTACAGGTGCTGGTGAGCTTGGGTTTGTGCTTTCTGCCTCCTCTCTGTCCGCCGCCCCGTTTCTCTACCACTCCATTGACTTTTTTCTGGGGTTTTACGTTTAAATCCCTGAGATGGAGAATCCAGCACAGACAGCCTACGCTGGCTTGCTAAGGGCTTCCTTTGGGTTAGGTGCAGGATCTTATCTGTCCAAGGATGCAGTGGCTTGAATTTGGTGTGACATGGCTCTGTGTGACAACGGGTGTACAAGAAGCTGCCATTGGCTCCTTGCTTAAACAGGCTATTGAGGGCAGACGCTTAGAATCAGAGACTCCTCTGGTACAGGGGTGACAAAACTCATGGGCGGTTAGGAGCATACATCCTGGAGTCATACTGCCTGGGTTCATAACTTGACTCCACCACTTAATGACTGTGGGATCTTAAGTGAGTTACTTCACTAATCTGTGCCTCAGTTTCCTCATCTGTCCAAATGGGGATAATAACATATCCTCAAAGGGTTTCTGTGAGGATTAAATCAGATGATATATGTGAAGAATCTAGCAAAGAACTTGACACATAATAAGCACTCAAGAAATGCTGGTTGTTATGATCATAATAATTATAATTGCTATCTGGATACTTTCAACAGGCCAGCACAGTACCTTTCACACCGTAGCTTCTCAATAAATATTGGCTGAGTGAATATGGGAACTAATGAGTGAATCACACACAAGCCCTGGAAATATGCAGTTAGGCTGAGTAAATAGTTTCTCGGGTAGTATCTTAAAACATTACTTTACACCTAGAAACTGAGAAAAGTGCTCCCAACCTTTCAAAACGTATTTCCATGATGAAGTTTGAATTTCAAATGGGCTTTAAAACAGGAACTTCCTCTCAACCCCAGCCCACGCCCCCCAGCTCGGCCCAGGACAATCCGTTCGTTATTCTTCCTAAGGTCCCAGCGAAAAGCTACGGTCATAGTTCTCCTGGACCAAATGTAGGTGCCCAGCTCAAGCTCTGCAGTTTCAAACAAATTGAGATTCTACTTCTAGGATTGTGCATAAGGCTCAGATACTCACTGACTGATCCCATGTGTTACTTGGAACGTTTCCTTTAATGGGAGATAATTGTGAATATCACCACACCACTGAACATTAGATAAGGAAGACTGGGAGAGCAGAGAAAACCAGAAATAGAGGTGGCCAGTGTGATGGATGGAAAATAATAAAGTTATGCCATATAATTAATCGATAGTTCTTCGATAGCTGTATGTACTGTATATTGTCTGGTATTGTGACCCTAAGCGTCTTAGTTATCTAGTGCTGCTATAACAGAAATACAACAAGTGGGTGGCTTTAACAAGGAGAAATTTATTCTCTCACAGTCTAGGAGGCTAGAACTCTGAACTCAGGGTGCCAGCTCCAAGGGAAGGCCTTCTTTCTCTGTTGGCTCTGGAGGAAGGTCCTTGTCATCAATCTTCCCCTGGTCTAGGAGCTTCTCAGTGCAGGGACCCCAGGTCCAAAGGATGTGCTATTCTCCTGGCTCTTGTTTCTTGGTGGTATGAGATCCCTCCCCCCATCTCTCTGCTCATTTCTCTCTTTTATGTCTCAAAAGAGATTGACTTAAGACACAACCTAATCTTGTAGATTGAGTCCTGCCTTGTTAACATAACTGCCGCTAATCCCATCTCATTAATATCATAGAGGTAGGATTCACAACACATAGGAAAATCACATCGGATGACAAAATGGTGGACAACCATACGATACTGGGAATCAACACTAAGCATGTCACTCATGTTCCATTGGTGACAAATTAGCCTCATGGCTCAACCTAGTGCAGGGAGTTGGTCCTGGGGAATATGGTCATTGGCTGGTTAGCCACTTCCCAGCAACAGCACTATCCTACAGAAGGGGAGCACAACTCTGTGATGACCAGCAAAGAGCCGTCTCTATCATAGTCCACCCCTCTGACTACCCAATATCTATGTTTACTCTTCTTCCCACACCAAAGAAGAGCCCCGTTCCTTCCGCAAGGGAAACAATCTAAAAGTCTATCTAATAACTGCATCCCGCTCAAAGCCTAGGAGTTCCTGTTACTGTGCTCTACTAAGTGCCCTGTATGAGTCCCCAAGGTGTGGCTCCCTGTGACCTGGTGACTGATGAACTAAGAAGACAAGTAAAACCCTCCTCACATACCCCTCAGTATATGCAGGGGCAGGATACTCAATATATGCATGGGTGAGCTACTTAAGATAAAATACTCCCATTCAGAAAAGGGAAGAATAGGAAACAGAGCAGTCCCCAGCAATCATGAAATCCTGCCAGGCGAGCATTGGGAAGGCATCCTATGCTGTGAAGGGAGACCTTCATTCTGCTGTCTGGAAGAAACCCTCTGGCCCACTGTGCTATGTGGTCCCTGCCTTCACTCTAGGGAGGTTAGCTTTTATCTATCCTCTCCATGGGTATCTATAATGAGGGTTTGGGGAACATGCTCTCCTTGGGAAGCTGCCCAGCTTTTGAGGTCTGCTTCCTGCTGATGTAAGCTTGGGAACCTAAAGGTTGTTTTAAGGTTAAAAACTAAGGTTTTCATTGGCTAGTTTTTGGAAGCACATTGCCAGGCCGCTCCTCCTAGTCTGTCTTACTCTGGAAGCTGTGCTGACATTTATTCAGCCTCATAGCAAGAGACAACCTCCACTGACAGACATGGCGTCTGAGCAGGAGGTGCAGCGGCCAGGAATCGAAACTGGGTCCCCCACGTGGAAGGTGAAAATTCTTTAGCATGAATTTGGAGGCCAACACCACTATGAGGGTCTAACTGGAATAAAAATAATAACATAGTAGTGATTTGTAAATGTGTTGGACACGTGTTAAGTATTATTTTCATCACCAATGAGATCGTGCCTAGCCCATTATTTTGGTGAAAAGATCCAGCCCACCAGTCTCCCACCCTCAGGTTCTTCATTTGCAAAATGGGGACAATGATGTGTATGTCATGGGAGTATTTAATGAAATGATGAATTCGTAAAGAAGAACGGACTCTATAGCGTTAGCTATCATTATCTTTCTCCTCTTCCTCCTCCAATCCTCCCGGTGCTGGGTACACACACACACACACACACACACACACACACACA